TTAAATAAGAAAAATTCTCTCCTCTATCTTATACTTCTTGTTTTTTTCTTATTATATTTTGAGTTTTCTTTACATTAGCTTCAACAATATATATGAACAACTTATTCTATTCTTAATTACGTGAGAATTTTTATTTTTTTCCTTTTCTACAGAAAACTCAATCATCGCCAAATTGATAAATTTGTTGATATTGTCACATTAATTTTATTCAATGAGTGCTTTCTCTTTTATTTGTAATTGTAAGTACTACGTTATTAACTAGAATGATTCTCGCCCAAATTAAACCATATTTGTTCCACTCATATCACTGTACTTAATATATCTAGAGCTGTCAAAATGGGATTGATCCGCCAGACTGATCTAACCTAACCCTTGAATTAAATGGGGTTAGATTCAATTTTTTCGGTTCATTTAGAAACGAAGCTTTTTAGCTAGTCTTATTTGGCTAGGCCCAATCTGCAAGTCTCAGAGGTCAGCCCACAAGTTATAAATTTTTAAAATATTAATCCCTCATCTTTTGGTTAATACTCAAAGTCATCCTTGAGTTTTCGCGTCTTTATTTATATTCTTTCTATTTTTGAATTACCAGTGGAGAATCTTTCTAAAAAAATCTCTTCGGCACATGAGATTCGTCGAGTTCAATTCAAGGTGCACCATGCTCTTTTTTTTTTCCAGGTAGCTTTTTCTTACGCCTATTTAACTAGTGGAATGTTTGCAATATTAGTGAACTTTTGGTCCTCCTTCAAAATTTTACCTATTTTTTAACATTGATTGTATTCATAATTTATGTGAGAAATTGTAATCGTTATTTTATATATTTAGTAGAAATAAATATATATTTTATGTATTCATAAAGTTATTATTTCTACTAAATATATATATATATATATATATAAAGACAATGACACATTCAAAACATAAAAATTACAAACAAAATTAATTTTAAAAGATAGTAAAAATTTTAAGGGAGGACCAAAATTGCACCGATATTACAAACATGAGGGACTACTAGTATTTCATGTGAAGATTCAAGAATGACTTTGAGTCTTTAACCCAAAGATGAGGGACTATTTTGGGTCTTCTCTCCACTATACTTAATATAGAGTTTTTGGCTAAAATTATTTCTAAAGTATGACCTAAACTTAAAGTACATCCTTGTGTTATATAAGTGAACATAAGACACTAAAATAAGGAAAAGAATATATAAATAGACCAAATATTTAAAATAATTATATGTTTATATTTCAATTGAAAGTAATTCAAGAAATATCTATTCTCTTAAAAAAATTACAGTCCATGCCCCGGTCATTAACATTGATAACTTTTTTTGATACTAGATCAGTATTAGATATACATATTGTATTGATATCGTTAAAGTTATTTGTTCAGTCCATACCCTTGTTCGTAGTAGTAATGTTTTTTTAGAAAAATATTTTTTATCACCAAAAAGAACATGCAATTGTTATAATAAAAATATCTTTGAGTTTTTGATTAAATATTACTCTCTCCGTCCTGAATTGTTTGTCATGTTACGCTTATCGAAAGTCAATTTGATTAATTTTTAAAGGTAAATTAGATCACATTAATTCGATATTTTAAACAAAAAAAATACATATTCTAAAACTATATGAAAAGTACTATAAATTACAATTTTTTTTGCATATTAATATGATGATAAAATACATCTTAAAATGTTAGTCAAAGTTTTTATAGTTTGACTCTAAAAATAGAAACTATTACAAACAATACCGGACGGAGGAAGTACCATTGTAAAAAGCATAATACATAAATATGACTGTTAACTTAGAGTTAAGAAACAACTATACGCTCCAACTTTGAAATGTGCACAAGTAAAACTATTACTATAAAATTGAACAAATAGACACAAGTGTTCTACCTGACATAATACATGTAGGATGTCACGTAGGATACAAAATTGTCATTTAGGGTGCCATTTAGGATAAATGTGTTCATTTACTCAATTTTAGACAAGTTTAAGTGTCTACTTGTATATACCAAAAGTTAAAGATCATAGTTGTCAATTAACGCCAAGTTAAAGGTAATATTTATGTGTACATACTTTTTGTGTGTAATATGTACAAAAAAGTATTACAATAAAATCATTGATATATAATTTAGATAAATACTATTGGAGACGAAAAAGAAATATGGTGGGGTGGCGAGACTTGTGGGCTATAAAAGCCCATCACTTATGAAACTTAAATTCTTTTAAAAAAATATTTTTGAATAATTTAACCAATGGAACATGAAGTTCTTCATAGAAAATGTCTTACAAGATATATGGTTCTTGAGTCTTGACGAGAGTCTATTCTTACAAACATGTAAAATTATTTTTAAATTAAATTTTATTGGCTCTTATTGATTCGGAGAATTCTTTAAAGGTATTAATAAAAATAATTTTTCACAAAAGTATAAAGCAAAATGGTTGAATTATAATTAAGTTTCGTTAGTGACAAATGATTTTAAAAAATACTTAGCTATAAAGAAATCAAACTCGTGGAGGTAAACATTATAGAGCCTAGAGGAACCACATGGCAAGTTATACGATGTCAAATTTAGAGAACTTTGAAATTCTCTTTTATTACATACTTTACCGAAAATGACTTATCATTTAAATTCAAAATCTTTAGTTATGAATCAATAGATATTTATCACTAAGTAATCTGTGATGATTGTTATTTTATCTTTCAAATACATTTATTTTTCTCAATTTCAACAATATGCTATACGTCTCAGGACGGCTTATTAAATGAATCGGATGGATAATTATACTTAATAATATAAATTATCGGAATTCAAATTTTACATATACTAATCTACTAGTTAATCAATTGTTGGGTATTGATTATTCTGATTTCTTACCACAAATAGATTTTTATTTTAGGAAAAATTTTTAAGATTTGATTAGTCATTTTCTTGTATGAAAAGGTTTAGTACACTATAAGTATATGTTTGTTCCTACTAACTTAATCAACATTTGCAATGTAGTTATCGGGTTTTGAGAGTTTTGGTTATGTGGGAGAATTTGTAAACCTCTTAATTGTATTTTGAGTGATTTGAATTGGGGCTATTTCTCTCTATATTTCGTGCTCCTCATATTTACAGCGGACTGCTCATCTTATTTGTGGATGTAGGTCTATTGATCAACTCACGTTAATTTGTATGTCGTTTGTATATTTCTCGTTTGTCTTCTTACTCATTATTTTTTGAGGATTGCTTCAGTAGCTTCCACATCACACCTAATTATTTGGGTCCTAACAAGTGGTATCATAACCATGGTTCAATGATGGAGCCAGGTAAGAGATGCGTGTTCATCTTGGCGGGTGAAATTCTAGCCGCAATATCCTTTTTGACAATAATGAATTAGATTTTTGTTGGAGAAATTATTTCAAATAGGTTTTCTGTGTCGAGACATATGTTAGATGGAGGAGATTATGGAAAAGATTATTGAAGATTATGTGAAGAAGGTGGACAAATTTATTTTGTCAGAAATTCAGGACAATGGGAGATTTGTTGGGCATTAATTGCCATGATTTCTTACCATAAATTGGTTTTCCCTTAAAAGATTTTAAGGTTTGACCAGTTCTTTTCTAGTAGGAAAAGATTTGGTACTCTATATTTATAGGCTTGTTCTTTCTAACTTAATCGGCATTCACAATGTAGTTTTAAGGTTTCGAGAGTTTTGGTTATGTGGGAGAATTTGTAAACCTCCTTGTATTTCAAGTAAAGTGGTTGAAGTTATTTTCTCTCATTATTTTGTACTCTCATAATCATAATGAATTGCTCATCCTTCATGGATGTAAGTCGATTGACCAAATCACGTTAAATCTGTATCTTTTGGTATATTTCTCGTTTGTCTTCTTACTCATGGTCTTTCGAGATTTGCTTTGCTAGCTTCTGCATTACATCTGCTTATTTTCGATCCTTACACCATTAAGATATCAATTGGTTCGGTATCAGATTAGGAATTAAATGACGATTATCAAGTGATGTATTGACTCCAACATTTCATGGTGCACTCTTTCACTTTCACTCACAATTAGATTTATCTTCCATCAAACAAAATATTTTTTATAGGCTTTCACCAAGACACATATGAAAGTCTAAATTTTGAGAGTATAAGCACATTAATTAGTATTTACTAAATGTATATACTTATGGTAAAACTATAACTATGATAATTTTTAACCAATTAACGATTAACCCAGTAAGGTAATTGAGTAATCTGTCCCCGCATTGATAAACTGTTAACTTTGGAATTATAATCTGATAACCAATCGTTAAGATGATAATCTAATATCAGTAAATAAGTCAATTTCAGAATTGACTTATCGATTATGGTTTGATTTTAAACAATCCTAATAATAAATTTTGACTCAAATTTAAAATAATATTTGAAGATTATTTTAAATAAATATTAGTTCATTACATTGACCAGCTATTTCAATTTTAAACTTTAAATTTGAAAAATAAGTTTTAGAATTTCTTTTTCTTTTATATGTTTTCACTCATGAGATTTTATTTTCAAATTTCAAACAATTTATCTAAAGAGAAAACTACACAATTGAAAAAAATATTTACCAAAATTAGACAAAATCCTCCTTGATGTCATCTTATTATGTATGTATATATATATCAAGGAGTAATTGGATAGAGTTTTTACCCTAGCATTTCTTTCTCTTTATATACTATGACGGTAGTAGGCGGTAAACACGAATTAGTAGTTAAGAAAATAGGGTACGAAAGTAAGTGTCCGTTTGAATTGATTTATTTTAGGTGTTTTTAAGTGAAAATAAATTTTAAGCAGTTTTGATGTGTTTGAATAAAATTAAAAAGTGCTTATAATTACTTATTTTAAAACCAAAATAAACCAAAAGACTTAGAAGTGATAAGTCAATAATCCAAACGAACAAGTTCTGTTTACCCATATCCAAATGCCTTTGATCAGAGCCCAAATATGAAGAAAGCCCAGTTATTGGAAGCCCAATTTCCATTTCCACCAACCAAGCACATGAGTAATGAGTTTCATGTCTATCTATGGCTTCTTCCATTTCCATTGACCCATTTCCTCTTCGCCTTCAATATTCGTAAGCTTTCCAGCTTTTGCTCTGTTTACTCCTATGAGATTTCGTTTTCTTTACAATTGATCACTTCTTTTTCCTTTCTGTACAGAAATCACTTGGAACTAACTCTATTTACAATGTGGTCAGCCCCAAATTTGCAGGCTATGTCATTGAGACCTCGCATCATTCAACCTCACTTCTGCAATGACGTGAGTTTTTTTGTTTTTCTGTGCAAGTGAATTTGGGGATAAAGGGAAATAGTTGGTGTAATATCTTATCTTTTAACTTCAATCCAAGTCTCCATGTAGACCTGATTCATTGTAATTTGTAACTGAACAAGGGAGGAAAATGGATCAATTGATAGTTAATGTGTGTTTTAATATGTAGATGGTGATGATAGTTCAGATAGGAAAAAAGTGAACAATTCATAGTTGAGGTATGAAACTCGCCAAAAATGACTGTGTTTATGGATGATAGGGCTATGTATTCCTTTTTGTTAAAAAAAAAATTAAGTCTAGTTGAAGCTAAGTTGTAACTCCATCACATAACTCCCTATAGTAAAAGAAGAAGAGTTGGAACACTTGAATTGAAGTAGGAGTTAAGGGAAGTAGAGTTATGAGTGAAATGGAGTTATTAACCTATAAATTCGAGTGATTTGAGTCATTCTAAACATACACTGTGATTTGAGAGTTAAATTTTTAGATTAAAAGACTAGCTGTTGTGGAGAAACAACAAGACTCCACAAGTGATCGATCTTGTAGGAAATCACTTAGATAATTGGTGGCGGTAACATACATCGACCCTAATAGAAGGTATGCCTAATTTTGCATAAATCTCCAAGTAATTAATTTCTTCATTGTATCAAAGCACGCTATAGATGTGTATATATTTCACCATTATATGATGATTAAAATTTGATGGACTACTGTATTTCATTTGAAAAATGTTGCCTGACAAAAGATTTCTGAAAAACATGGTTAACACTCATAGTTCCTTGTTCATGCTGCAAATGTCAGTAAAGTTCTTAATTGACTAATAGTAATGCCGACTTTGACATTATTCGATTGAAAGAAGTTGGCAAAAATGCCGATTTTTCACTAATGTCAGTTGTGTGTCACACATAATAAAGTTATTCCGAGTCAATATGTAGTTTAGTGGTTTGAAAGGACAAAGCAAATCCCTTTTCACGAAGTCTAGTAGGACATGCATTTAAATTTTCTGATTAAATGAAAGAAAGAAAGTAAAAGGAAAGAAAACTGGAAGTGTTTACAGTTGTGTCGAATTCTGTAACCTAAGAGATCTCGATCTATTTATTACTGTTGTTCAGCTTCTATTTAATTTATCCTTTGAAGAAAATGTGTTACGTACATTACAATTTGCATCATGTGTACACTTTCTAGCTGCATTTCACTTTTATTCTCCGACTTCAAATGCAGGGATGCACTAAGTTCAGACAACACATGTTTTTAGCTTGGTCCAGTATCAACCGAGTCGAGATCAACCACTGCTTTACTTCACATCTCCATATGCAATGTTGTGCAGTTTTAGCTGACACAACTAAGATAGTTTCTGACAATTTTCGTGGAAATCGTTCTTTTGATTCAAAAGCTAGAACTTTCAGTAAGTTCTTCTTGCTTGGTTTGAAGATATCTTAGAACTACTCCCTCTGTCCCAATATATGTGACACATTTCATTTTTCGAGAGTCTTAACATATTAAGTTTGACCGAAAATTTGCGCATGAAATCTTCTCTTTTTTTGAAATGAAATTTATATATTTGTAAAGTACATAAAAAGTACTATAAGTTACAATAATTGACAATCCCTAAAATTTAAATGATATATGAAAAATTTTATCGTCAAAGATAGACTTGCTTGAATATCGATATCCGAAATATGTGTAATCTAGTAGATGTTTTGTCGTACATTGAAATGTTGTAGCTCATTTTTTTGTAGGTCTCCAACATGTGCTTAATGCTGATGTATACAATTTTACCTTTATCAAAAAAAAATTGGGACGCAGGAGTATTGTTTATCTCTTTTTAGGATGTAGAAAAATAGTTAAAACGTAAGATTGTTGAGTTAATCAGATGTGCCTTGTCTTATTTATACCATCATTTGTTATCCTGTTAACTTGGAAGAGTAGAATATATATTGAGATTTATGTGACTGATGACTCCAACTAGTTTGGGGTTGCAAGTTGCAACATAGCTGATGTATTTAATATTCTTGGGACTACTAGAATGGTACTACTAGCTGATGTGTTGGCATTTTCTTTTACTTGGACATCATTTGAGATCGAGGATAGCATTATGGGAAAGAAAAAACGTCTAGCTCTCCAATTACTTCTGTTCCTTTGACCTTCATAGCATCTTATAGTTATAAAATCTTCCTTATATCAGTAAGTAACCTATGCTTTGTGAAAGCATTTTACAGACTCCTAGTCACAGATCCCTAAGTTCTTGTCATTTCCACTTCTAAGTGCCTGCTTTTGTCCTCCATATTTAGCTTTTGCCGGTCAGTGCTGTGGAGAAGTCATAAAATATGTATTGTATGTAGCATGTCAGGGTTAACAGTTTCTGTCTTTCCCCTTTAATCTCTATTTTTCTATTTGGGTTACATTAGATTTCTTCTCCTAAGCTATAAAATGGTCTAATTGTGTGTTTATCCAGAACAGAACCTTTTGGACAAGCATCCCATTCTCTGTTGCTTGGACGATGCCAAGTCAGGAGTGAAGATTCAGAAGGAACCTTGAGTGGCGAAAGCATCTTGCAAAATGAAGAAACCTTGGCTCGAGATTTAAGGACTGCTATTAAAGAGGAGAACTATGCTCAAGCAGCAAAAATCAGGGATCGCCTCCGGCTTCTCCAGGAGAATAGTAATGCATCTGTACTAGCAGCAAATGCTCGATTTTACAATGCTTTCAAGACTGGAGATTTAGCTGCTATGCAAGCCCTCTGGTCGAGGGGTGAGAATACATGCATCGTGCACCCGGGGGTGAGTGGCATATCAGGCTATGATCTTGTAATGGGAAGCTGGGAGTTTGTGTGGGCAGAATATGATTTCCCACTAGAAATAGAGATCAGAGATGTCCAAGTTCATGTTAGAGGTGATCTGGGGTACGTTACGTGCGTTGAAATGGTCAAGACAAAGGGCAGCAGCTGGGGAAAACAGTTTGCTACTAATGTGTTTGAGAAGGTTGATGGACAATGGTTCATATGTATTCACCATGCCTCTTATATTGACCTGTAAATTGGGAACGAGAGAGCTGTTTTAGAGTGAGTGAGAAGAGTCTTATCTTATATTATCATAGATTTTGTAACCTATTATTATTAAGTCAAACGATAAAGCATAATTTGTTTGATCAAACATTTGAATAACAAGAGTGCTTTTGTAGAGTAATCATTTGAGTAGTAGTTTGTGTTTTGATCAATAAGTGCTTTTACATGTCAAATTATGGAAGCTTAGCCAAACTGCTTGGGAGTGTCAAATATGTATTGAATAACAGTAGAACCATCAATATTACCTTAGATAAAAACAAAGGAAACGAAATCCAGCCACTGTATATTCAAAGAGTAAGTACCTACTTTCTCTAAAACCTTTTCTACTGACTTCATTTCTATACCTTGCGGCGTGACATTATTTCCTTACTATAAGAGAATTTACAGCTGATCAAAGACGTACAAAATGAGAGGTCGAAGATTAGAGACTTATTTGAACCACAGGTTTTCAGCTTGCGAGATGCAATGTGATGCTAAAACAGCCTCTCAGAATTCTTGCTTCATCAGTTCCCTAGATCCTTCCAACAGGTGAGGGGGGTGGAGATGACACATATCTTTGAGGGACTTGTCCTTGGACTGCGGTTGAAGCCTTTGTCCCCATCGTGGCATCTGAAGAAGCCTTCCGTCCTAGAGAACCAATTTCAAAGATGTCAGCTAGTTTATGACTAGTCAGGGCAGACACACATATGGAGAATGCCTCTAACAAAGGAACTGATGAATCAAATTCGACAGAGTAAAGTCCATTCTTGAGTGGTGCCATGCTGAAGATAGGCTTGCTCCTCCTATTTCCTCCCTGTGAAGAAGCATTGGTAACCAAATATTATCAAGACTTATCAAGAGAAGAAGCAAACAAAGTGAAATTAAGTTTTGACGCAAACAAGTACCTGAATCAAAAGGTTTAGAAAATCTTGGCTCTTGCAATTCTTATCCTGTTCAAGTATTTTTAGCTTGCAACCAACATCCCACCCTCCACAATCACATAATCCACCAGATCTCCATCGTTCGAGTAATGAGGAAGGAGTTCCATCATTTGGCAAGTTATGTGTACCACCAGGAAGAATGACTACAACATCACTGTATGTTTCACAGGTCTCTCCAGGTAATTGCTGCATACCTTCTTCTTTATATTGACTTGAGTTCATAACGACAATGGCGGCAAGCTCTCTCTTTTGACAAGAATCAGGGACTTGCTTTTCCACCTGTCCACAATCAATGCTATACAAGACAGATTCCCTTTGCACAGATATGCTTTTCTGCTCATGTACACTTGAGTTTTGAACTTCAGAACAAGAAATCTCCATCTGGCCAATAACTTTATAACCAAAGCCAGCACTTTTCTCTTTTGGTCCATGGCTCATCCAACCCCCACTCCTCCTTTTAATTTCATGGACTGCATAGAAAGCATAAACCAAACTACTTCCACCCTTCCCGGAAGTTGGTAACTTCTTGACAGCTGCAGCAAGAATGCCACCATCATCGTCGACGACAAGTTTAAAAAATGGAACTCCGTCCTTAAGTGAAAGCTGTAGAAGAGCCTGAAGAGTTGGGGGAAGATGCTTTTTCGCATGAACATGCTTGCTGTGGTTAGTGGGCAAAGTATTGCCATTTGAGTTTTCATTAGAAAGTGGAAATGTCTCAGCTGAATGAACGCCCTTAGGCTTCAGCAATGGATCTAAGAGTCTTCTCAAAGGACTAGATTTTCCTCTGATATTAGCATTTGGCTTCTCCCGATTACTGAGATCCGCACTGGAAGAAGCTCCTGCTGGGCCAGACTTGGGGATGCTATTTGTACTATTCAGTGGTGGAGCAGCAGAGGTCTCCTTAAAACTGAAACTTCTGCTCATTCGACTAAGACTAAAGCTAAACCTCTTATTAGGGGATGGATGTCTTCCCTTCACCACTGCCTCCTCTGCAGTGTCCAAATCTTCTCTCTGTGAAGTCTCAGCTGGGAGTCTCAATTCTACATCAACTTTATTGTGATTCAGACATTTGGCATCAAATGAAGTGCGATTAGTTATCCTCCCAGTTGGACACGGGGATGAGCATAAATCTGTTATGTCCCGAGCACTGGACAACTGGCGTTGCTTCACATGAGACTCTGTATTCGTAGCAGAGCTTGCAGGCAGAGGACATGAATGTGGAACAGCAAGCAGTTCACTAGAGAGGGAATCCAGAGAAGAACAATCAGAAAATCCCGCCCTCATTGCATCAGCTGGTTGCTCATCAAAAGATGTTCTTAATTCAGAGAGTTGAGAGGCCTCTATACTTTTTTTTGAACGATGTTTTGGAACCAAGAGCACAATATTCTTGGGTTCAGCAGCATAATTTTGGGAACTAAACTTGCCTTCATTGTCGAATTTGATCTCGTTTTTACAAACTTGAACACTCTTTGTATGACTACTAGGAACACTAACATTCTTGATCGGTATCCAGGACAAATCTTCTTCATCTGGTTTTAGTTCGGAATTACGGTTGCGAGGTGGTACCTCCTTCCTAAGATGCTGTTTCTGCTTACCATGCTTTGTGGGGCACCGTGTAGTTTGCATATCATGGGTCTGAATAAACTCTGATTGGGATTGCTGCACGGGTTCTGCAAGCTTCTGTTTACAAGACGGAATGCTCGGTAATGGCATTTGCTTTCTCTGAGAAGACAAGCCGTAAGCTTTGGGAGGCTTAACAGCAACAAATGAAGAACTACCTGATAACGTTTTACGATGACAACTTGCAGGCATACGTTCATTATACTTCCATTTCTCCAGACGCTCCCAATCAAGGACTCCGAAATTCAAAGCCTTTCCTTGAACATTCTTTCCCTTTTCTGTGTGCTGCAGATAACCTGGCAAATTGGACATGTACTTGACAAGCTCGTCATCTTTATTTTCCTTACTCCCTAACCACTGGTTTTGGTGATCTCCGGAAGAGGTCAATTGTGAAACATTCTGATTGACCGTCTTGCTTAAGCCATGATGCCTGCTAATATATGTCTTATCTTCTGTGCTTTCAACTTTATTCTTGTCTCTGAGCTTTGAACTTTGATTTGCTAGGGATGATTTGATCTCTTTTGCAGCACTGGAGCTTTCGTGATGACGTCTAGTTTCTAGTCGGTGCCCCATTTTCAAACTTCAATTACATTCTTTACTGCAAAAGGAAATAAAGGTCTTAGTATATAAGAGAGACATAAAATAAAAATCACTACAGAGACATGCTACAATATCCATTACTCAATGTTCACTAGGAAGGAATTTGAACGATATGCCCTACCACAAAGACTTCAATAGAAGACAAGTGCACAAAAGAGTTGGAAGGACTAAGCAGACTAGTAACACAAGAACGCCTAGACAAAATATTCATCGTACTTCTTGAACCAATATGAAATCATTCAGGCCTAAAAGAACAACAGACTCCTAGTGAGTCGGATGTTTGACAGAAACCGGTAGCTATATCAAGAGCAAATGAATTGTGCCAAGTATGCTGAGTAATGACCTGAACTGAATATAGACCCCTGATAAAATGAATATATTAGCAGACAAATAAACTAAAACACTTCAAATCAGTGGTCAATATCTTTTCTAGCAGTAAGCAATCAATAATTCAGCTTCTTTAAAATAGACAGTTTGACAACCGTAAGAGTATTCCGTCAACTCATCCGTAAGCAGGTTGGCAAATACTAGAAGTGGAAGTACAAGGGAAGCTCAATGCACTATGCTTCTACTATGCACGAGGACCAGAAAAGGGCCAAACTGCAAGGGTCTATTATACACCGCCCTACCTTAACCAGTTATGCCAATTCCATGTTCACAAGCAATGAATAGAACCTTAAGCAAACAGGACAACTGATGGATTTGCAGAAGTACTAAGAGAATTCGAGCAAGTGCAAATGCTGAATCTCATCATTTCTAGTAAATGCTACAATCAGCCTTCGATTGAAGTTGACACAAGAACTATAACTAAATGAAGCTGTAGAATCACCTTTCAATTCTTACATACTATACTTGCAAAGAGATCTGTATATAGACAAATATAAGAAGAACAAGAATATAGACATAGAAATATGTAACTACTAAAACCAGCCAAAAGCATTTGCTAGGCAACCCAATAAGACATATTTTCTTCACAAAGAAAAAGCATGACCTGACAAAAGTGAGAAAATTAAATCCTAACTGGAGTACTGGACCAAAAGTATCAAAACACCATCTTTTTCTGAGTCTTCAACCATAAGATTCTGTGTATCTGTAACATAAAGCAACACAATCCCCACAGCTTTAAGTTACAGATTTAACATTTCTCACCCAGCTGGACCCAAAGTGTCATGAATCTAACTCATTATTCCACATTTCAATCCACCCACTAAAAAACAACAGTTAACTGAAATTGCATTTTTACATGAAAAGTTGTCAATGAAAAAAATAAAAAACTAATTTCTGAAACAAGATCTGAGAGTCAATAATCACAAGTGTTAATACAGTTTAATCAAATTCAAACCACCTCACAGATCCAGAAAAATGGAGCTCAGAAACAATATCTAAGGCCTTCACACTCACATAAAAAGGGATGCCATATCACATACCACAAAAGAAAAATCAAGAAATGTAGACCCATAATGCAACATTTTGAGTGGTAACAAAGAAAAGACAAAAAAAGAAGAAGATAATATCAAGAAAATGCAGACCCATAAAACCACAACATTCAAGATTTTGGGTGGGTATAAAGCAAAGACCCCTCACGAAAAATGAAGACCCATTATTCATGGAAACCCCATTTCAAGATTTAGTATGATAAAAAGGGAAAAGACAAAAAATATTCAAGAAAATGCTGACCCATAACACCACAACATTCACTTAAAAAAAAACCCATTTCAAGATTTTGAGTAGCTAAAAAGCAAAGACAAAAATGCAGACCCATAACAGCAATATTCATGTAAACCTCATTACAAGATAAAAAGGGAGATTTGCAGAAATCATTGTACTTACAGTAAAGGCAAAGAAAGGAATAGCAGAACAGAGCAGAGAGAGTTCCAACTTCCAAAGCTATAGAAAATCTTCTTTGGAATGGCATGAAAACGTTTTCTTGAAAAGGAGAGAGAGACTGAGAATATACACCAAAGCTGATATATACATACAT